TACTTTCCAGGCCAACCGCTGACCATCTTCTTCTTGAGTTAGCTCAATCTTAGGGGTCGTTTGATTTTGGTAATAGTTAAATTGATGCATTGTCATCAATGCTTGCATAATAATATACATGTTTATAAGAAAATTGGTGTATAGTTTACACCGTTTGGTTGTTGTGATAGTTATTATAGTATTTAAATAAATTATATTACTTTTTGGGTGAAATATCACTTTTACCATTTGGTTTTAATATAAAAAAGCAACAGACATGAAAAGGTAGATACATAGTTGGAAGAAGAAAAAACACAACAATGTCAATCAAACAATCTCACAGAAAAGTTGAGATTTAATGAGTGATCGTTTGTGTCACATCAATCAAACAATGCATGTATTGTTTGTGTAGAAAATTCATAAAAACAATGCATTGTAGATATTGCATACATTGTAAATATCACCAAAACCAAACCACTCCTTAGACTAGCTTGTTGTCCGACCTGTTGGTTCGAAATGTCATTTGAACACAATGTATTTATGATGTGTGTTTAAATTTTTTAAATACATTGAAATGCTGTATTTCGTATGACATCAAGGTGACATCGAAATTATTTTTCCATTTCCGAAATTCGTATAACTTTTCATCAATGGTGAATATTGTAATCTTAATGGTTATAACCAAGTTGTCAAACCGGTTTAAGTCGTTGAGTTGGTCAAACAAGTGGTTTGAAGTTTAATGGTTTGATTGAGGTCCAACCTGTTTGAGCCATTTTACACCTTTTCTAAAAATTTACATATTAGATAGAAATTTAGTGATTGAAATAGAATATACTAACGTATATTGTTTACACCATAAATTTTGTCTTGTACCACATTGGTGAGTTACAAGATAATCAAGGAGTTTATAAGGCCACACCCATTTAACAATTAATGTTGTTTAAATTGGGCCTTATGGATATTGATTTTAAACCCAAGTCACTAGCTCATTAATGAGCATGGACATGATTCAATAAGGGACATGGGCCTCTCGTAAGAGGCCATGCCATGCCACGAGATGGCATGAAAATTTCTAAGTATGAGAAGTCCATGGCCATGAATGAAGAGGACATGCCGCCTCAACGAAGAGGGCCATGTCCATCTAGAAATTGAGGAGCACATGCCGCCCCGCGACCAATACCGAATGACTGAAAAATAAACTAAGTCTGGAAAAGGTACATGCCGCTTGAAGGAGAAGCATGTGCCACTTCAACGAGAGGTCCATGCCGCTTCATGAGAAGGGGCATGGACGCGAGACAAGATGACACGTTCATGCCACTTCACGAGAAGGGGCATGGACTCAAGAAAAGATACTAAGTATGAGAGGGCCATGCTGTGTCACGAGAAGGGCCACAAACATGTATGAGAAGTCCATGGCCGCGAATGAGGAGGCCATGTCGCCTCATAATCCAAAATATACTAAGTCTGAGAAGGTCATGCTGCCTCACGATAAGGGTCATGTGCATGATTAAGAGGTCCATGGCTGTGTCATGTGATGGCCATGGACGCGAAGCAAGAAGCATTAGATATGATTGAAAATACTAAGTATGGAAAGGCCATGTCACCTCATGAGAGGGGCCTTGTGCATGATTGAGAAGTCCATGCCACTTCACAAGAGTGGCCATGGACACGAATGAGAAGGGCGTGGTGGTGGAGCACTATATCAGTAATGACTAAGTCCCAAGTGGGCCATGGACATGGGTAAGAAGTCCATGGCCATGAGACAAGAGAACCATGACCCCCTTTGCGAGACACTACATGATCGTCAAAAGACTAGCATGGCACGAGATTCAGAACAAGACCAGGCGAGGCAAGCTATACTCCAAAACCCACGACCGTTCCAAGAGAGGCACCTAGGCGGTTGAAGGAGTAATCACCACTCCGAGGAAGCAGGGAGCAGTTCTTTTTGGGAGTTATCCAAGAGGCGGTTTCCACCGAAGAAGGAGGAGCGGTTCTTTGTAGCAGTTATCCAACAAGCGGTTTTCTATGGCGGTTACCTCCTCGGGGCTATAAATAAGAGGAGGGGTCGACAGAGACAGGGGTTCCAAAACCAACACTCTGACACACATGTCAAGTTTATCCTTTACCTTTTCTCTATCATGTAGCCATAGATGTAGTTCGTAGTTTGGAGCTCTCGCCGAACCTCCATAGGAGTAGAAGTAATTTAATTTAGATATCGTTCCCAAAAAACCATCAATCAAACACCCTCGTTCGAACTTTGTTTGAAGAGGTTTGAGCCGTGTCTTAGAAATCGTTGTCCATAGAAGTCAAAGGTTCAATCCATCTCAATTCGACGCAGAGTTTTCTTAGCTAAATTTTCACATCTACAATAAATTTTTGTGGCTTTATCACATCGTGTCTTATTGGATACGCCTCCATGTCCACTTTCTGTGGTTGGTGCATGCCGTCATGTCCAGACTTAGCCATATTAGTATGTTTATCACAAGCATGTGTGGCTTGGACTTCATGTGGATTCTTGGACAAAAGTGTAGGGGCCAACAAGGTTTGGATGTTGAAAGACGAAGTCAAGTGGGCCACATGGGTGGTCGCCGACTTGTCAAGACTGGACATCTTCTCCCACAACATGAGGAGAGTAAGCATGTCTCAATCGAGAGGCATCCAAGGCAGAGGAAAACTCATGGTTGTCTTGACATGTCAAGTAAGGTGGCCAAAGCACAAGAGCATGGGACCCCATGTAAGGCCACCAAGGCTAGACATGCTGATCATATACCACCCACTGGTAAGCTAGAAGATTCAAAATTAATGTATGGAGAATCATGTTCCATGGAGGAAAAGAGGCATGTGGTATATGGATGGCTTGCATGTTTTAATCCATGGACTTGGCAGTGGGTGTACACCTTTGGCGCATTAGTTGTTGCCAGAGGCGATGGAGAGCAGTGACGTTTGTCACTCCTTGTTATCTTAAATAAATATCATATATATTAATTAATAAGTAAAAGCCAATCATGGCTATATAAGAAAAAATAGAGAGAAAATATATATCTATTAAAAACTCAAATAGTCAAATTTCATAAAAAAAACATATCTATCTCAATATTCATCCACCATCCCCTTGCCTCCCCCCCCCCCCCTTGCCTCTTTCTGCTTCTCCCTCTCTAACGATTAGACCCTTGATTTTGTAGAGTCTGTTTTGGAGCACGACTTTGATCGGACCTAGTCCAACCAGTCGCCTGGTACAAGTGTCACAACCTTGGTTATAACACTTTTGAATAACTATTCATAACTTGTCTATTTAATGATGTAGTTACTTAGTTTCCTATGGTTGAAAAGAAAATTGACATAACTAAAAAAGAGTTTGTCTAAAAAAGCGTAGCATAAATAGGAAACTCATGATGATAACCTTTAGCCAATATTTATTTCTTTTGCTTGAGAAACAATACATATATAGCAATATCTAAACCTTAAAGTATTCTGCACAATACAATAACAAAATTAGTAAGAAAATAACATTTTTCATCCATACTCTATGCAATGAAAAAATTAATTATCAACCAAGATACTCTAAATTTAGTTTACGGACAATCTTATTCACTCAAACAAAAAAAACATATCTTGTGGTACCTACCTTGCTAATCCACATGACCCCATCAACGCATCCATGAAAACTCCAGCCCGACTTTCATCATTTGTCTTGTACTACGTTATTTCATATTAAATTAAATAACTATGAATGATACATCTAGTCAATTACCCTATTGAAATCATCTATAAAAATTGGTTTTCATAAATTGTGTTCTTTTAAACTCACCCATTTTTCCAATCATGCCATATTATCATGAAATTTAGGATTTAACGATTAACCAAACAAAAAATTTCAAAAAACTGGTCACTTTTGACAGTTTGCATAACAATATCATTGCATTAATAGTTCTAAAAATGAATACCAATTCTACATCACATCTACACATTCAATACTGCAATTCAATATGCAATATTCAAATCAATGATATTTGAGTTGCAATATTATAATTAGTCTCCATTTATAAGAGGACATAAATTAAATTTACTATTAAACTCAAATTAAAATAATCAAAATATAAAAATTAAAATATCAAATAACAAATAAAGTACTTTCGTGAGAGTTAGTTGGCAAGCTAACAATAGTGGAAAAGTCATACAAATTTTAGATTTTAGGTTTTCAGATTTTGTACTTAAAAAAGGGAAAATACATTTCTATAGTCAAAATTTTGGCGTTTGTGCCATTAATGTCCAAATTTGGAGAAATACCACTTATAGGCAGACTTTGTAATTGTTGTATGACAAATCTCGTCATTTTCTTTAAATACTATAACGTCATTTTTTGTATATTGATGTTTATTTTTTATTCAGTATTAAGTAATATAAAAGAATTACACATAAGCAATATTAGATGCCACGTCAGCATTTTCATCTTATTTGGCGCTGACGTGTGCGCTGAGTGGGAACCTAGTCAGTGAATCTCAAAGAAGCTGACGGTGTTACTAACACCGTTAAAGTATTTAAAGAAAATGACGAGATTTGTCATACAACAATTACAAAGTCTGCCTATAAGTGGTATTTCTCCAAATTTGGACATTATTGGCACAAACGCGAAATTTTGGCTATACAAGTGCATTTTGCCTTAAAAAAATACAAAACATATATTTAGTGTAACTGGTAATATTGTTGTCTTCGTTTGAAAAGATCATGGTTTGAATCTCGAGATTGATGTTTTTTTTCTTATGTATGAAAAATAAATACTGATAGTGAAGACACAATTACCCTTTCTACTTTCGCTCTCATTATAGAAAAATTGGAATGATGAAAAACTGACTTCAACTCTGTTATAATATATTTGTAGATTGAGTACACCAATCTATTAATTAATTGGTTATTATTTTTATAATTCTTGTCGGGCTTCGTTTAACTTTTATCTTTGCACATTTCCCTACCACCATTCTTCCATTCCATTTCCACCCCATCAAGCCAATAATACCGAAACCGGAAACTACCCCAAACACGACCCTGAACTCAGAGGGGCCAAAAAGGAAGACGAAAAAGAAAAGGCAATGAACGATAATTCCAACGGCGGAGCTCCGAACAGAGCCGAGGCGGAACGCCTGCTTGGAGTCGCCGAGAAGCTCCTTCTGTCGCGGGATTTCACCGGAAGCAAGGATTTCGCCGTCCTAGCTCAAGAGACCGATCCCCTCCTCGACGGCTCCGATCAGATCTTGGCCATCGCCGACGTCATCCTCTCTTCCGACAAGAAGATCAACGAAGACCACCACGACTGGTACTCGATTCTCCAGCTCGATCCCGCCGGTACCGACGACGCCGACCTCATCAAGAAGCAGTACCGCCGCCTCGCCCTCCTCCTCCACCCGGACAAGAACAAATTCCCCTTCGCCGATCACGCCTTCAAGCTCGTCGCCGACGCGTGGGCCGTCCTCTCCGATTCCTCCAAGAAATCCCCCTTCGACCGCGACTTCAACTTGTACACCAAGGTCGATTTGTCCAACGCCGGCAACAAATTGCCCGTCCGCAGAAGCCAGCGTCATGCAGGTGACAATGATGATAACAATAGCCCTCGAACTACCGTCAATTTCAATAGTAATAGTAGCTCCGGCGATGTGAATCATACTAGTAACAATCGGAGGTCGGCGAGGATTGCCTCGTTTTGGACGCTTTGCCCCTACTGTTACATAATGTACGAGTACCCTAGGGTTTATGAGGATTGCTGCTTGAGATGCGAGAAATGTGAGAGGGCTTTCCATGCTGCTTCGATTCAATCCCTGCCGCCTATGGTGCCAGGGAAAGAATCGTATTACTGCTCATGGGGTTTTTTCCCGCTTGGATTTGTGCTTGGAAATGGAGACAAAAGTTCTGCTTCAGATGGTGGTGGTAATTCTGCTGCTGCTGCTTCTGGCTCTGCCTTTGTGAATTGGATGCCACCGATGTTCGGCGGAGCGAGGCAGCAGCAAGTTGGTGATAGAAATGGTGCTCCTCCACCACCACCAGCTGCTGCTACCCCATTTTCAGTAGTAACGCCTGCTGTGCCACAGTCGACAGTGCCACCATCCATTCCAGTGCAAGGGAGTTCGTCTGGAGTGGTAGCAAGGAAAAGAGGCAGGCCAAGAAAAAACCCGTTACCGGGGCAAACTTAATCGAACGGGGCTAAGAAACTATGTTTCCCCCCCTGTGCATGATCTTTACTAAAGACTAATGCAGAAGGATTATGAAGTGGTAGCTGTTTGTAGGAGCAGCCTGCTGCTCTCTCTCAGTATGGGAGAATGAAGGCATAGAAGGTGCTGTTGTAGTCGCAATTTGTTTTCCCATCTCCTGGCTCTCTCAGCTTTATGTGGTTTAGGGTTTTCTTAGATGTATGGTAGCCTTTGTGATGACTGACTGCTTCATTGTTCATAATGAATTATGTTTAACATTTGCAAACATGCAGCAATGTCATTTAGGCGAAGGTGTTCCTTGTCTGGATGCAAGAAAATGTTATATTTTTTTGGGTTGAACTAGTTTTACATCCTTGAATGATTAATGGTTTGTTCTGCGTCTATCAAGTGTTTGCATATTTTGTCCCCGGTATGTGCCTGCGTGACAATCTTATGTTTACTTGGAGATGGATGTATCGCAGCGCTACATTAATATGAATTGGATATGCTCTGCTCTTTAACCTTTATCCATATTTTTATCTTGAAGCTGTTTGAGATTTGTGAAGTTGAGATTGTATGCAGGTGTTTGGCATAAATGCCTTGGTCAGTGATGAAGTTATCGACCGTGATGGCTTCCTTATTAGACTGGGGTAGGCCTTGTCTCAATTGTGATTGATGATAGCTTTGATAGAACAGCAGCAGTCAAGTGCAGTTAACGTTGGTCACAACTGGAACGGAACGAGCTTTTGGAAATGACTGCTTACCGCAGGATAGCAGCAATAAGCAGTATGAGGAATCCTTTGCATTCTCCATAAAACGCCTTTCTTTTGTTTGGTTTATTTGAGAGTCATGCATCTGACTGAGACTCTAGAATGCATCTTTGTATAAAGTAACAACAGTCCACATCCTTTCCCCTAGTCTATGAAAGTAAATGAAATTGGTTTCAATTGAGAAAAGTTCATCTAGATGTGTTTTCCCCTAGTCTATGTTGTATCGACGTTCTAGAACATCACCCTAATTCGATTCACTCTAGCACATACCACCCAATTGTTCTAGAACCCTAATTCGATTCACTCTAGCACATACCACCCAATTCGGGCTATCTAATCCTGATCAATCACACTACTCGGAGAGGCGGACCTACAACCAACCTAGGTAATTGAGGCAACCCCAACTACTCCCACAATTGGGTAAAAATCGATAGAGGATCTAATCACACTCGTTCAAAGACACCGAGTGTTGAATTGTCAATGCTCTTAATCAACCCTAGGAAAATATTCCCTCTCCTAAGTCAATTAGTCTCAAATTGAGAGAAGTGATCAAGAACCATCAATTTCATGAGTAATACTCAAGTCAATATATAATCAAGATGCAAATTAAGGTGAGGTTCACAAATAATCAATTACGACATAATGACTAGGGTTCGTCAACACCCTAGTGACATGAGAACTACTGCATAGGTAGGAAGAGAAATACAACCAAAATGGAGAAGACAATATCATAGGAAGAAGATCTTGCTCCTTGGCTACTCTTGGTGGTGAAATGAAACCTTCAATGGTAGTGGAAAGCTCCAAATCTCCTCGGAGTTCTCTAGGTTCGTCACTCTCTCTTTACCTAGTAGATGCACTTTCTCACTCTAAGCTCCTCCCTTTGAAATCTTATTTTTGCAACTTTATATAGCCAGAAAGTGCAAAGTTCACGGTTGCCTGTCATGACCGTGAGGTTTGCAACTAAATCGTGAGATCGAGTGGATGCGCATCATTTCACTAACAATCTTCAAATCAGGGTGAAATTCTCACGACCTAAAGCCGTGAGATTAGCAACTACCCGCGAGATGACTTCTGCTTCTTGGGACTCTGCAGACCTCACGCTTTTAGTGTTGATATCAAGGTCTGCCAACCGTGACATTTGCACATGCCCGCGAGACGTCTTCTTCCTCCCGGGATCCATGCAATCCTAATGGGGTTGATGTATAAGTCACGTCGTGGCCATGAGAAAATGCCCTAAACAGTGAGTTTTGACACTTTTCACCATTTTGTCCCATCTTGACTCTTTTTTGTCCGAATTTCGTTTTTTTTTTTTTTTTGCCATGTGCACTTGTTATAACTTGAAATTCACTCAAACGTGCAAAACCTAGCGAAAATGGCTGCAAGAACGATGAAACACAAGCCAAAAGACAAAAAAAGAAAGGTATAAATGTGTATAACTTGACTTGAATCATTTTCTCACTATCCAAACTAAATCCATTCGATTATGCATTCACATATTTTATCTAGAAATGATCTTTACTTCTCTCATAATATTTGATATTTTCTGTACATATATATAATATTCCCATGAAAGTGATTTATTGTTGCACTACTTGCTGACATGTTTGTAAAAGTTATTAAGAAAAATTACTACTCATGTATAAACATAAACATCCAAAATATAATTGGATATTGACTTAACTTTGATTTTCTACTTGATTCATGTACCGAGTATGAATAAAATCCTACACTTTCTGTAAGGTAATGTATACGTACTATATGCCTGTTGTCATCCTAAGTGAAGTAACGAGATCATGATCTTAAGACGACAGAGGCATTTCTCTTCATCAATAGATGCAAACCCCCAATAGCCATCGTTCCAAACCCTCCCAAAATGGCCCTTTTTTGGGGACATTAACCCCCACAATATGGTTCTCACTTACTCATCGTCCCAAAACCTCTCCCCTTAGCCGGCACCTAAAGATCGCGACTGGGGAAATGGAACATTTACCCGAATAGCCAGCCTTCCATAAATCAGAAGACAAGCCCTGCGTGGTGAGCGTTCTGGTTGTTCTTGGAGATATAGGGAGTCATTGGCTGATTGAACTAACATGGAAAGAAATTATGGGGGGTGGTGAAAGAACCATATGAACATTTACCAAGCTAACCAGAACATACAAGATGAAAGAAGCCACAGATAAACTGGTGTCATGGCTCGATCGATAGCATCGTCGAGAAAAAGGATGGATAAGACTCAAACATGATCATATACCTAGAGGAACAAAGGTGGAAGAAAAAAAACCTCTTACTACCAAGTATCAAGAAGCAGCAGGGATATTAGAGAGCCTCAGGCACTCGCTCTGGCACCTCCTCAGGCAAACATCGTTCCAGTTTGGAACCTGATGCTGGTTCACACACACTGTTCGAGCACAGGCATCCGCACAGGCATCGATCTCGGAGACGCCACAGACGGTGACGCAGGTATCGACGATCGGGTCTTTCGACAGCGAGCCCATCTTCTTCAACATCCGCTTGGAAGTGCACACCCTCTCGCAGACAAAGATCTCGTCGGAGCTCTTCTCCCTGCCCCTCGCGCTCTTCAGCCTCTGCTCCTCTGCTCTCTTCTTCTTCACCCTGAAAGCCTGGCCTGCGATCACGGCTGGAATCGCTGCTCCTAGCAACGACCACCACGGGTCCACCATGCCTGTTACCGCCGAAACAAACAAGTCAACACTAATCAATCAACCAATCTCATCCGTTCCTTCAGCTGTTCTTCCAAGCAGTAGAGTGAGAAACTAGGGTTTTGGATGAGTAAACAGATTATCCAATTCAGGGAGGGGTTGATGAAACTGGCAAAATGCACCTTTCAGTAGTACTACTCCCTCAAAATCTACCATCGGCGTACTACTTACTCATCAAATCAACATACGGTAAACAGGAAATTCCGGCAAAAAAAAAATGCATTACTCATACGATTAGAATTTCGCATGGATTAAACGAATCCAAACCCTACATTGAGTGGGGAAGAGTTCGTGAAAGAAAGAGAGATGGAGGCGATTGATTCTGACCTGAGCTGTTGAGCGGAAAGTCGGAGCTGGCAGAGGTAAAAGAAGAAGAAGCTGGCTGCTTGAGGGGTTTTTAGGGCGGGGGAGAGCGAAGGAGTGAAAGGGGTTTTTAGACGGCACGGCGGAGGGAAATCGGAAAGTCCGCTGCCGGCAGTACGGCGGTAGCACAATATTTACGATTTAGCGGCCAATCGGATTGATTATTGATCCAACGGCTGCGGGTTCTCTCTTCCTTTTATCAATGCCCTTCATCTTGCCCACCGGAGGAGTGTGCAATAGTTCGGTTAGGACCGGACCAATATTGTACGGCTGACTTTAATCCTCTTCAAATGTCACTTCCATCCATTTTATTCAGTATTTATAAAATATTAAAATTCATGTGATCTAAAACCAGATCACGTTATATTCGATTTGATATGGTTATATCCAAATGTCGATTTGATTTGATACAATCCAGTACGAACCAACCAGTTGTACACCACTATCTACCAGAGTACCAATCCGGTTTATTTCAAATGATTTGAATAGTTGGGACTGGTTACGATGACAACCTATTGCTTTGGAAACAGGAAAATAGCCACATGTGACTCTAATAATCTTCTTCCTGTCTTTCGTTCTCTTTGTCCCTTCTACTCCTCCAACAAGGGATGGAGCTGACACTCATCTCTCAAAGCTAGGAGTGCTCAAAAGTTTACCAATACCATGGTAATTACCAAACCAAACAAGCCAAAATTTTATTAACCATGGTTTACAATATAATAACCAAACTGTCCAAACTAATACAACATCCAAATTAACCAAACTAAAGTTTAATCGATTTGATTTGATTAACCAATATAACATCACATTATCATTAAGTGAGAAAATTTTCGGTTAATGCATCAATTCACAATTTATATGATGAATAAAACATTACAATGAACACAAAGTTATAGTTAACCCTTACAGAAATACATGCAACTAATACATTATCATACAGTCAATAGAAGTATTCACCTAATAAATATATATGTCAATAGTATGGAGTTAATTAACTATTATAATTGTGTGAATTGAATTAGTCTCTTAGCAATTACCATATGTCGAAAAGGCCTTTCTTTCAAGTTTTCATCTAATATATTGTATGAGTTTTTATCTAACTTAGGTGTTCATATATCATGGTCTACACTCTACATATACAAATATAAAGTATAGGTACTGTTTGTGCCTGGATTGTCCCAGGCGGTTTTGTGAGACTCCACGGGCCTCATGCAGCTTTCAGTGAACGGGACGCGGCCTCTGAAACCCTGCAAGAAAGGTCCTCAGGGGAATCCTAGGACCTCCTCTAATGCCTAAGTTAGAGAGAGAAGTAGATGTATAGTGAATAAGAGATAGAATTGAGTAGGACGAAGTTACCATAAATGTTGTCCCTTCGCGGCTACTTATACTAACTTAATGTTATGTCAGGCGGTCTAGGGCGCTTCTGGACTCATTAAATGCTATGCCACTACGAATGTCGGACTCTTTCTATTCAGAGGGGCTTCAGTCCACTATGTCGGGCGGTTTGTTGGTATGTATGTACGTCAGTGTCGGCCGGTCTCCTCGACCTGTGTTAGGTAGACCGCTACGGCTTGGTCTATTTTTCTGTGGGCTTTGTAACCATGGGCCTCAGCCCCACGTATCTCAATACTTGGCCCAACATTTTCCCCTTAGTCGTGAGAAGCGTTAGGTTGTCGCGGCTACCCCACGTACTGCTCTTGTGCGGCTGTACGTTATGCGGTCCATGGTTACCTATCTTCCCCTGGCCGTGGCGGCCTGACGCGGGGAACGACTATGGGGCGGTCAAGCTGCGAGGCGTCCTGCCCCTTTATGTCAGCGATGCCATGTGGCGTGTCTCGGTCGTGGCGCCTTGTCTGAGTCAGACAGAACGTCATCTCTGTCACCTTGGGTTTTGAATTTTGCTATAAGTGGCCTTTGGAGCACTTTTGTCCGCCAATTTTGCTTCCATTTGTGAGAAACTTTTGGCCTCTTCTTCTTTCTTCTTCCTTGGCGCGATCCAGAGGTTTTCTCTTCCGGCGCGTGGCATTATAAAATCCGATCGGATCACCGGTAAGTCTTTTTATTTCGCGTTTGGTTTATGGGGTGCGACCCCTCTTCTCCCTCGTTTCGCTTCTCCTTTTTTCGTTATTGAGTCGCCGCCTTACTTTTGCGCGTCGGGCTTTATGGAACTTCAGCTGTGAGTGCAGATGTCTAAGGACGAGCGAGGATCGCCGATCGGCAAGGTGAGACGGGCGACGGCCGCTGTGGACGGAGCTCCAGTCGGTGAGGCTACTCCAACGGTGGACCCCATCTCCACAGTGGCTTCGGGCACTGCGCCCTTGACTTCCCCTGCTACCGGGAAAGGCTCTTTGGCTTCTGCCGCACCGTCATCCTCTGTCGCGATTGGGAGGAAAGCGGCAGCGACCGCGGGAAATTGGGCCCCTGCTACGCAAGGTATGATTCGTTCTCCCGCTCGAAGCGTTTTCGAGTGCGTGTTTGACCTATATGGTCTTGACTTGTACTTCGGGAGCGGTTCGGAATTAGACGATTGTTTTTTTGGGGACTCTTTAGGGTTAGATAACTTTTTTGCTAACACGCGCCCTGTACCAGTTGGGGTTGTGGCAACATCTTCTGCGGTTGAGGATAACCTAGGTGAATTTGGGGCTATAGAATTAGATAGCGAATCCTTAGGTGAGGAAGATGCGGTTAGTAGTGACAGGGTGCGCTCGGAGGCAGTTCCTAGTACCTCATCCTCTTTGGAGGTAGCGGAGTCAGAGGGGGAAGGAGTGTCGCGGTTGGTGATTGAGGATTGAGCGTATACAATCCTTCGTCATGAAGCCATGTGGGACGACCAGACGGTGCCCCCTGAGGTGCTCCAGTACGGTCCTGAGTACGAGGCGGCCTTGAAGCCTTCACAAGTACTTCATCGTCTGAACGTACTAGGCTTACCGCTTGAGTGGGAATATACGGCTCCGTCGGAGGAAAGCAGATCAGGGTCTTGCCCTAAAGGTTGGATCCCCATTCACGTGGAGCACGTGAAGCTGGGGCTGCAGTTCCCGCTGGAGCCTATTCTCACACAGACCCTGAACTGGTTGCAATGCACCCTTGGACGCCTGTCGCCCACCATCATCTTTCACTCTGTGATGTATCATTATGCGTGCAGCCTTGTAAAGGAGACACCTTCCTTTGATGCGTTCCGGCTGATTTACAAGATCCGAGACTCGACCAACTACTGGTCGATTGGGAGATGGGAGAACGCCATTGGCTTTATATCAGGGGCGCCTAAGTTGGACTCGTCTTGGTATAGGGAGTACTTCTTTGCACGCCCGTCTGGTCAGTGGTATTTTGGTGTGACCACTCCCCCCACCGGATATGCGGTTGGGTCTAGAGATTCTTGGTGTTCTTCAGAGGGCTCCAACTCTGAAGACAAGGGAAGAACAAGCAGAGGGCTCAAAGGGAAAGGCGTGCGAAGAAAAACAAAAGGCCGTCACACATCCTCGACAACCCTGCCCGGACAAAAGGCGGGGGACTGGACTCAGAAGAGGTGGACCTCAGCTTCCTCGAGGAACACCTGCGGTCAACTTATGGAAAGCACAAAAGCTCGAACGTCCTGCAAAATCCGCTATCAAGGGAGCTGTTCAAAACTCCGCTCCCGCCTAACATCTCCTCGCTAGGGTTGCCCACATACAGCGGGACCTCAGATCCCGCGGACCACCTTTGCGCTTTCATGTTGAAAATGCAACTCATTAACACGTCCGACTCGGACTTATGCAGGGTGTTCCCCGTCACCTTCAGTGATCAGTATCGGACGTGGTACACCTCACTTCCATAAGGGATCATTGAGAATTTTGATCAATTCGCGATGTTCTTCTCTACGAAGTTCGCATCCCAAAGGCGTCGCAAGCTCACCGTCTCAACCCTCATAAACTGTCGACAGAAGAAGGAAGAATCACTCGCGGAATTCTATGACCGCTAGAACGCGATCGCGTGTGAGGTGGACGGCATCTCCTCAGTCGTAACTGCCGAAAACCTCAGAATATCCATGACCAGTATAGAGCTCAAAAGAACGTTGATAAAAATTGAAGCCACCTTGACATTGTGGTCCGATCTAGATCAGCTGGTGCGTTGAGCAATCTTGCTCGAGGAAGCATTGGCAACTGACGACTGTTCCCAGCAAGGTCACCCCCGAGGAGACCATTAGGAACGGGGAGACACCAGGCAGGGAAGACGCTCTCCAGAACGGAGGTCATATCGCAACCGATATATCGACCGTGATGGCAAGAAGGAAGTGTTCTCCACAAACCGCGAAAGAGGAAGAGAAAGACGGAGAGGGGGAAGGAAACATGATGTGTCCTCCAGGCAGGAACCCCAAGACGTAAAGAAGTGGTTTGATTGGCACCAAATCACCACTCATGATACCACCGAGTGTCGGGAATTCAAAGCCAGCCTGAGATATTTGGCCCCGGGCGACTTGTGAAGTTGTCTGGAGACGAGACGCTCGCACCGCAACCATTCTCAGGAGACGCGAGAGGGATCCCATAGCCTATATAGAGAAAAAAAGAAGAACGAGGAAGGAGAGGTCAAGATCCCTGACCATAAACAAGGTTGCCTCTTCTCAAAGGCATTCTCCCGCCTACAGACCCCATCGCAATGACGATGAAGGAATGTAGGTCATCACCATCGCAAGAGGACGAAAGCGGCCTCGGTTTGAAGGAGACCTCATAGCCCAATGTCCAACGACGAATGACAACCAACGTCACCTTCTTGCCGTCCGAATTGGCCAGAGAGGAAAACACGGAGGATCCCTTGGTTATTTCATTCCGAACTGCCACATTCAAGATCACACGGGCTCTCACGGACACGGAAGCTCCGCAGACATCCTTTTCTACTCAGCACTCAAAGGAATGAAGAAGAGCATCCAAGACCTCAACCCATCCAACACCAGCTTGGTGGGGTTTTCAGGAACTAAGGTCCACGTCCTTGGGTCAATCACACTCAAAATCACCATAGGCAAGGGCGGTATCACCAAGACCAGGCAAGTGGAGTTCCACGTAGCAGATTGCCCGTCGGCATATAATACCATTCTAGGAAGCGGTTTCCTTGCCTCCTTCGAGGCAGTCGCGTCCACATGCCATCAGATGTTAAAGTTCCCTAGTGGAGGACAAATGCGACGCGTCCGAGGGAACCCAAAGGAAGCCAAAGAGTGCTACCAAGCTACCTTCGAACATCTCGAGGTTGACCTTGTGGATGCCAGAGGAGACGTCCCACGTCCCGAAGCCGTTGAGGGCGATGTAGCGGTCGCTCTAAACG